CCCCCCCGCCTTACCCTTCTCCAAGGCCAGACATGACAGATCGTGGAAACAGGTCTAGGGATTAGGCCATATCGGTCCAAAGATATCGGTCTTCTCAGGTTGTTGCGTGCGCGCGAAAACTGGAAAGCATTCCGGGTAAGAGCCCTGGCCAGGGACATTGTGTTGTGCTCCTGGGCAAGACATTTCACTGTCTGTCTCCACCCAGTTGTATAAATGGGTGCCGGAGAATTTAATGCCAGGGGTTAACCTTGCGATGGACTAGCATGCCATCCATCCCATCCCAGGGGGGAGTAGAAATACTCCTAGATGCTTTATGCAACGGAAAACGGGATGGACCACTTGGCCCGACGCGGACCTTCCATTTTAACCTAACCGCGCGTTGTTATAGTTCAGCGGTCCGTGAGACCATTGCACCGTTAAAACTAAGCTCATTCAGATTGTATTCTACAGGGTTTGTGTTGTGTATGTGGTGGCTGGTTGTAGTGTATCAAAATTAATCACGAGCACTTATATGGTGTTTTGGGTCGTCACGTACTGGATCGTTTTGGGAAATTCTGACAAGTATTTAAAGGATGAAAATTCTTGGAATGCTGCTATCCAACCTTTTGATCACCAGAAAAAATTAGAAGTCACCGAAAGTTCTGGTTAATTAGAGTTATTTTCGGACAGATTATGCCTCCATGGCACAAAAGACAAACTGATGACAAAAATTCCGATATCAACATTAATCTTGAGTAAACTTCGAGATATTTGAGTCCTCGAACCCCAATCTTTTCACCTAAAAATCTCACAGAGCATATAAAGGTAGCTAAGACAGTATTGATGTTAAAGAATGCCAAGATCTCCAAAACAGGTTACAATGTAAAGTCCCGCGCTGGGAACTGTTAAACTGCCTGAGTTTAATAATGTTCAATTTTGACTTGTCTCAGTTCTTGGCTTTTGCTAGTTTACTAGTTCTTACTGTAATAGTAGTAGTAATCTTTAACGAGGACACCAACATTACAGTAGAAGGGTCCTCGACTGTGCGCAAAAACAATGTCCCTTGTACAAAGGCAATGATAAGATAATGGTTACTTATTAAAACAAAGTTATGCGGCAAATTTAGCGGACCCTAAGCATTGTAGTCTGTCGTCAGAGGTTAAAGTCTTTAACCAATCACTTGTGTAGCAAATATTGAGCCTTGCCATGCATAACCTTACACAATTAGCATGTTTGATTGCTGTGTAATAATCAGACAACCGAACCGCAACGTTCTCGAGTATTCATCTGTCTTTTGAAGACTCGTGTTCTCTATTCAGTGTCTATTGTGGGATAAATCGAATCGAAGCTCCTTTTCCTCGCCTCATAGCAAAATTTTCACAAACAGGTAAGAAATGACAAGGATTGAGGGTTCGCTTATGTATTCTATAGGCGCTCGCGTCGAGGGCGTCTGTTTGCGTTTATAATTCAAATATTTCAAAACAAGTCAAAAAATGCTGGAGAAACCTTGATGGCAATAATCGAAAATGGAGGAAATTTGCAGTCTTTACTTAAAGCTAAGACTGTGACTGTGTATAAGTTATCTTACTTTCAAGGGCATTTGGTGAATGATTAAACCACATTAGTGTAACATCTGATGTTTTTGAAAGACACGTATTTTAGACACGATATGGTTCACTAGTTTCTACTCTACTCATAGTTCCGCTTACCTCTATGAAATTCTGATGCTAGAAACACGTCTCAAGTTTAGTAACAGACAGACATTATGGATCAGCCGTCCTGTTTAGGGTATACGACCCCAGTGATAAGATATTGGGAAATATAATTTCGGACATGTGTTATCTTATATTGTACACCGACCTTGGCATAATATATTTCGATAACTCATTAATGTAACAAAAGCCGAGAATTTTTCACGATTCATTTTGCAAAAGTAATTAACCGTAGTTTATCTCGTTGAATTTTCGAAGAAGGGCTAGTTTGTACACCTTTTATATTCTGAAAATGAGGCTCAAGGTAGATCAAGGTACGCGGCTGAACGTGTGACGATTAGTGAATTTTTATTTCATCGAGTGAACCACGAACCCTCTTAGAGCGGTTTCCGCAAGTAATGGCATTTGTTTTTAAGTCCCGTTTAATTTAGCTGAGCTCTCTAATTTATGTTAAACTCTCTAATTCCCCTAATTGTGAAATTCGTGTGGTCTCAAAGTTAATATATAGCTCACTGCAAAATCGCGAGAAGACTGGGAGAATATGTTAATTACATGTAGTTATTTTAGCGCCGTACGTGAATTACAAAAACACTAGACTAAATAGCAAAAGACCTAAACTGAGGGTCTGTTAGACTCTGGCGGTTTGGCATTTCAAGCCAATTTTGAGTGTCCGTTTTTGGGTACATTCACATTTATCTGGCGGTTAGCTTAAGCTCGCGCCTAGCTCGCGGTTTTCGGTTTTTGCATGTTTTCGCGGCGTCATTCATACAGAGTTAAGAGGCAAAGAAGAAGTCATTTAATAGACACCAAAATTTTTTGTTCGCTGGTTACTGAATAGAGGTAGAAACAATTGTGGCCTCTGTGAGGAGAAATACGGTTATTTAGATAACATATCGAAAATAATTTCTTATTGCTGTTACTAAAGATCGCTTGTTATGATTACCGCTCCATTAGTACGGCAGATTCGGTTTTTAGGAGAAAACGAAAGCGGTTTCGAAGCAACAAAATATGACGGTTCGCGGAAAGTACGAGACTCTAGAGACCCTATTGATTGCAAAGACATGTTGCCCAGTGTAATGAGCAATCCAACCAAGCTTGATAGTTTGCACTGTGCTGGAAACAAAAAATGACGAAATGAAGCGAGGCTTGAAATTAATGACCTGTCTACTCAATTGATGAGCAAAGTCTTCAGTTTCGCGATGTTTCGCCAGTTGTTATTTCTGAGGTGGCTTAAAAAAACCACTGTAACGATGTATTCCCGCCATAATGTTGCGGATCTCTGAATTGTAAATTATACTTACATTATTTGGTGCTTTGGAGTGGGGCAGTAAAATATTGCGCTTCGATAATCCATCAAATATTTTCACTCGTGCGCGATGGGTCTAAACGCGTCACGTGACTGAATATGCTCCAGCTAAAACTGAGTAATATGCGAGTGATATTTCCCAATTTTAAAAACTGCGCATGTTGCGAGAAATATTTGAAGGATAATAAACACAATTGCCTCGATTCAATTTGGCCCGAAAATATGCTTATATTGATATTTGTTCTTGGACAGTATATCTGATTTGGTTCTCAAAGCTCGCAGTTTTCCTCGAGCTACGCTCTCGGAAAATTGTTCGCTTCTTGGAACAGATAATGTCCGCGGACAAATATCCGAGCATATTTTCCCGCCAAATGGATGCTATTGTTTAATTATCCTACAGTGACTGTGGTGTGATACTGTTGTTTACCGTTCCACCCTTTATACCACAAAAGGCATATAGTAACGAGAACGCACAGCATTTAACCTAAACCACAGACTGTTTTTTTTTTATCATCAGGTTCACGACACAGGATGAGCAGCTATCCAGAAAATGATAAAACCGTTGTCATCAACGGTGACTATGTCCTGTCCGTGCGGGGATTCCTCAAGATTATCGAAAGTGTAAGTGAAACAGATGTGAAATATGGCCCGGAATGTTAGCCGGAGGTAAAGTGATCAAGACACGGCTGAACTGTCAAATATTTTCATTCAAATAATACTCAAAGAGCCTGACCATTGATTTAGCCTTGCGTACTTCAAATATTTTCTTTCCGAACTTGTGCGAAGGAAAGTTTTGATTACGCCGAGCTGGTTCCATGCATCACATGGGCCATTTGCTGAAATCAGGACTGAAGCTAATCCGGATTTGGGGTAGGATTTAACATCAACCTCCAATTCAGTGGCAAACAGTTATTGTAAAATATTATTTTACCCGCTCCATTTGAGATTAAGGCATTCATGGCATGCGTGTTTTGTTCCGACTCAGTTACAACAAAAAAATGTCAGGACCCGTGGGAAATGGCAGTCCTCAAAACAAAATTATCCCAACAGGCGAAAAAAAGCTTGTTCTTTTTTAAGCGCTCAAATCTGATACTCATAGAGAAATGATGACGTCAGAACGCCTTGCCTGATGACAGTACCGAACAACCTCAGACTTGCGCTTAAATCCTTAAGGAGACACATGCAGCCCATAATTTTTATCTTAGATATCTTTTATTCGGATCCTGGAACGAGAAAATAGCAGCAAATCAAATATAAGAGGTAAAGAGTCTCTGAAGTTTACAGCTTGGTACGAAATGCTTCCGGGTGGAATCGGAGCCAATGGGGAAGACGTTGAGCCCGCGATTAAGGTCGTAATACAATCGCTCTTTCTTGCTTATAACGAAGCAGAAACGAAGCATACGAAATGGTATCGGAGACCTCGTCGAGGCGATATACGTTCTGACCTCTTCAGTCGTCTATATTTCTCCGCACTAGTAGTTTTATTTAAGCCATTTATTATTTCTCGGCATAAGAAGCAAGGAGGAGGGTCTGATATCGATGGGGACGCTGTTTTTTTCAGTTATCAGTTTAATTTTCGGCAGTCAGTCACAATCTCTCATTTCTCATTTCTCATTTTTTTATTTCCAAGTGCATTTTGCAGATCTCAGATCTCAACTGTTAAAAAACCCCGCACTACATTTCTCGCCCGACAGTTGAAATTTAGACCAGTTCTCATACAATTAAACCCCATCCACAACCAAGAAACTGTGTTGGCTCTTCGTTTCATCTCATTTCATTGCTCTTCTTTTATAGATACTCCTGCTGGTGGCCTTCATATTTGGTCAGCTTTATAGATCGTTTTACAGTCCGCCTCATCTTCCCTTCTTTTTCGTGGCTGTGTTTACTGGATTCATTCTCCTGCTGGCATTCTACCTCTTCTTTTTTTTCTCTTTGGATAAACAGTTTGATACTTTTAACTGGTATCTTTTGGTAAGTGTAGATGGAATTGACCTAATACCAAAAAAGAAAGAAATACTCAATGAGGGTTTTGAACTTTTTCTCTGTTCATCCCTCAGAAAAAAACAAAACACAAAAAACAAAAAACAAAACAAAACAAAAACCAGCACTTTAAAGTCCAATTCGATCTCAAAACAGTGGACGAAGAGCCCCTCTGCAGGACGTGCCCCTGCAAATTATTTATCTATTTATCATTTTTTTTTTACCACTTTCATACTTTCGCGATACTTCACTATCAGCTTAACCATAGCATTTTGTTCTCGCGAGTGCTTTGAATCTTCATTCAAAATGGTGAGGTGACAAGCGCTGAACAATCCTAGGTTTAGGAAACACCCGGGGAGGGCCGGGGAGAAAAGAATTGAAGTATAGTCAGGCTGTGAAATTCTAGTCCTTTCTTGCTGTGCGTTCGCTTCAAGATTTTAGTACCAAAGAATGTTTCACAGGCAATTTCCTTCATCATTTCTGTGTCTCATTATAGGATATCATCTTCTGTGGCTGTCTAGCCGTGTTCCTTATAGCAAGCGCTGGACTTCTTGTTCGAGAGGCTGACCTTAAAGAAAGGCATGGAACTCAATTCACAAATTGGCTTTATGATAGACTGGTCACTGCTGTGGTACGTAACACCACATTTCCTTTTTTATTATAAGCAGCTGTAAGATTAAAGCATAACTATTATTGGGGAGCTTAAGCAATGACGACGGCGACTCCGGGGACGACAGAGGCTGGTAAAAATGAATTTATATTTTACCTTCGAATTTCGCAATTGTGTAGATCTGTTCAGTGCGCCGTCTCAGAGCCTGCTCAAGGTAAATATCCAACGCCACCGTTCAATTCCAAATGAAAATACGAGAAAATTAGCCGCCGTCATTTCAAGTTGTTGTTGTGCAGAGGTTGTTCTTCTGCTTGTTTGGTAGCGTTCTCGTTGCCGTTGCCGTCGTGGTTTGGTGAAGCTCTCTAATGGACACCGGCTGTAAGGGCTGCATCCTACGCTGCACATAATGCCCTTCAAGTCATTTATTTTTTTATTGTATTAATATTAGTATTAGTATAGTTTTTTAGCACTGTCCCCTAATTAGTATGGTGTTTTTATTCCCGGGCTATAAGGTTTTTTGACACTTAAATAAAGTTCTCACTCGCACTCACGCTCACTCACTACGTGGAGGAGTTGTTCGAACTTCAGGAGTACAAAAACAGAAATCCCACAGACAATTAAAAGTGTATTTTTGAAATGACTGAAATCGACTTTTGTTTGGTCTACTGTACGAGTGTCCTCTCTTTATTATTATTTAGACCACGTAACAGGAAGAAAATGACAGCTATTCACAAATGCTGAAACGCCCGCTCCAGGGGGTGGGACGGAAATTTTGAAAAGAACCACTAAAAACTACCTAAATCCTGCTTTGTGGGTGTGGCTTGAAATTTTTTTCACCCCTAAGAGGTACTAACCGACACTTTCATAATTTTCAAAGCGATGAATACTTTGTAAATGAAAAAAAAAAAAAAAAAAAAAAACTGCTTTCTTGAGAAATCCAGTTAAGAAGGACTCCCTATTTGCAAATTTGTTCAGTGCTAGATTAATGAAGTGCATATGCATTTTCTACCCTTACTGCTTTACCAACCNAAAAAAAAAAAAAAAAATTAGTGAAATCAGTTGATTGTCAAATATCTCCTGACATATTTTTTTCGGCTCAATGCCCTAAAAGGTATTGCGAAAGCTCTCGCCATTGAACTTTTGAGACTGAACGCCCTAAGAGGTTCAAAAACTGCGTTTTTAACCCTTAAAAGGTATGACGAGAACCTCCGTCCTTTCTATATGTAAGTCCCCCCCCGGTGCCTGTTACGCAGGCTAGAAAGACGGGGCGTACATGTATAAGTGACTCTTACTAGTTTACACGCGTTTTATAACTATTTGCGTTTCTTCTCTTTTCAGGTTCTTGCATTTGTTGTTGTGCTACTGCTCATCATAGATATCATTGTGAGCTTGGTCCAGTACCGTCGCTTAAAGCGAAGGCAAGCGGAACAATAAACCGGGAAACTTTTGTCACCTCGAGTTTACTCTCCAGACGCGTTGTGTGACAACACAAAAATCAACTACTTGACTGCGTGAAGCTCCTCAGAACTCCAAATTTACATCGTCGTATTGAAGATGGTTTGGCCTCATTTTAAGCTTAAAGACTGAAAAGTGTTAATAAAACGTTACCTATGTTTTCTAGTTCATCACAGATATTTTATTTTTTAACAAATGATTGTTATTAAGAAAACCATTGTTGTCAGGAAAAGCAGCTACGATAAAAAAAATTTTTGCAGCGCAAAATTCAGGGCTTTAAGAGGCGTACTCTATAAGATTCGAGGTCGGCCACGGTATCTCACCGATTTGGCTGAAATTTTGCATGTGGTCTTGCTTTGGGGTCCTAACTACGAAATAGACGTTTTAAAAAACCTCGAATCTTTAAAAAGTTCTGTTAAATTTTACTTTGGTAGTTCCGAACATGGCCGGTTTCGGTCGGCCCCGAATGGGCGCCAACATGTCTGATCAAAGGACTTCTTGTCATCGTTCTTTCCAGCTTACCATAATCTTTCAACAAAAACCATTAATGCGGCCTAAAAGAGCTATTTTTGTTTCACATTCTATGTCAAATACTTCTCTGAAATAAAACGATTCTGACGATTTGGTCATGACCGAGCGAAAAGTTGTTAGTGTACTTCCATGTTACTTTTGAGAGGCGCATAAATTTACTGTAAATCGAAAGGATTGACAGTTTACTATTTAACCTGGACGTAGAGCTTTCATTGCAAGTTTGGCAGAAGAAATAAAAAATGTGCAACTTCTTTAGCACGAGAGAAATAAAACTAAACAGGTGTGACCATTGTACGACTATTAACCAACCGTGTAACCGTTATTTCTGGTTTTCACTGTCACGCCATAAAAAAAAAATCGCAAGCATTCAATAAATTAAGTGAAGAATCTGGTACATGATTGATGATTGATGTAAACACAACCTCACCAAGATGTAGGTTTGTGCGGTTTTTCATTCCCGCGTTATTCGGAGAGATGTTACGCCCATGCAAATTTATAGAGCTTTTAACAGAGACCCTCGGAGAGGCAAACATCTGTCATTGAGTTTTGTTATTAAAACGAAAAGCTATTACTCTACAGCCCTGACAGATTGAAATTTATACTTCTTCTAGTGCAAGAACTGTTCAGTGAGCAAAACCTCATCTTTTGACCTACGCGAAAGCCTTCTAGGACCGCCATTTCAATATCACGCAACGCGTAAACGTGAAAATTCAAAGATGCTCTATATTGCAAAATGAAGAACCTTGTCGAAATAACACTAGCTACAGCCACAAGCCCACAAGTACGCATTGCGGACCGTTTATTTTTTTCCGCCCTGAGAGGAAGCCGCTCTCACACGAGTCACGAAATAAAAGGCTGACAGTACCCGTTCTACGAGACATTTGTTGCCACTTTGAACTAAAGATCAATTCAAAATCACAGCAACTACTCCGACGAAAAGCACCATACGTAGAGATATTGGAGAAACATGTGCGAGCTCGTTCTTGTTTTGACATGCAACTGCAAGCTGATCATTTCAATTGTGTCGCATACCTTGTAAAGAGAGATTGTTTTGCCCGCTCTTATAATCTTGAGTCATATATGGTGGAGCTTCCCCATATCGCCGCCAACCAACCCAACTCCGTTTACCCTGTCGCCAACCGTCACTACGTCCGGTAAGATTACGCGATGGGAGAGATCGTAACGACGGTCTTCAGTCTCTGGCGTATCCTGGTAATGCTAACTTTAAGAATTCACAACATCTCACTGAACGAGCTACTTAGGTTTCCACTGTACATGTATCAACGTTTCTTCAGTACAGTGTTTCAATGTTAGTAAGGATCGATAAACTATCTTTTTTTGATACGCCCTTAATTACGCTAGCCAATGCAATTTCAAATTTTTGCTCAGAATAACGCGCAGCTTTCATCATCGCAGACTGTTAAAATGCTATCAAATAGTGGGGACTCCCAAGGGAAACAACAATACACTGATAAGAGACGGACAATTTGTTCTTTGAGGACAGTCACGTATTTTCTGATAAAAAAATTGTCAGTCGCCTTTAACGGCTTGGCAAAAGTTGTTTCTCCCACCTGAAGGTTCAGGAAGGTTTGTTTTAGCATTTGTTCCAAGATCCCAACAGTAGCAAGCTAGGGTTTGGAAATGTTATTCTTCTTTGGTTCGTTTTACTTCCCTCCTCCTTTCTATTGCGGAATATTGCCCTCCCGTCCACCCCCTACCCTCTCAATGATAAAAGGATCTATTTCCGCTGGTTGTTTGTTGTGCTGGTTGATGATCACTAGTGCCAGTGGGACGCGTGATATTAAAACAGAAAGGAACACCAACCTTGAATTGTGCTTCAGAGCTCTTATCGATGTGCACAAGGTGAGTCAAGTATTGAGCTAATTCAAATAATGTATAGTGAACTGCGTTCAATACGTGACATCGAGCGTGTCTGCATGTTTACTTTAGGCCGAGATTATTGACATCAGCGTACGGTACATTGACTTAGAATTTAGATCTGTATTCAACTGTCCATGTCCTCTAGACTTATTTTGCCGTTTGGCCACCTCAATAGATATAGTTTCGTCAGCTTAAATTGCGCGTAACGCATTTTAATCATGATATTTTTAAAAGAGCGCGGTTCCCTTTAGACTGCAAAACGGAATAAGATTTGTTTCGAGGGTTTCTTTATAAGTGAAAGCAGATCCTCTACGACAAATCATTCGAACGATATTGCAAGTACAAATAAAATAGTAAATGGCTGTTTAGAAGCAAAATTTGCTAACATTTCCACGAGTAATAGCGATAACTTAAACTGAATGTTTATGGGGAACGTTTCACCCGATACACCAAATAAATTTCACAAGTTTGACACTTCCTCGATTTAATAAACCGCCTTCATCTTAGTGCTCAGTGCGTCTTCGCCATTAACAACAAGGTCTTCGAGTTACATATCACGTGACCTAAAAATTTGCATAATACGATTTCGGACACCCTCCCCCCGTTTAAAGGAGAAGGTCCATAAAAAAAAACGTATATTTTTGAAAACTCTAATAAAAACCCCTCGGTAAGTTTAGCCACTCATCGAAGTTTCAGCCTCTAAAGTGCGGGTTTTCCTTATGAAATTCGTCTCCAAAGAAGACCAAAATTCGACATCGTTGCCGCCATTTTGAACAGTACTCAACAGCCAGACCGCGTTTTCGTGATGTCATTTCGTCCAAGAGATTTTGTCCAAATGGCTTCCAGCAAGCCTTTAAACTATCACTCTGGGTTATGGCTGCTCTTGAGCCGTATTATTTTGAGCCAAACATGCTCCAAACTCCGAAAATGATAGAAGTGAAGATAGTGAAGTTGATAATCGCTTGGAAAAATATATTTTGCCGACCTTGTGAAGGATGCAAAGTCAGTAGCAGGTTTTTCTCGCTGCCGCCAATTTCGAGTCGGACGGAATGATGTCACACAAACACGGTCTTGCTGCCAAGTACAGTTCAAAATGGCGGTCTCTTTCGAGAAGAATTTCTTCAGGATAGCAGGCACTTCAAAGGCTGAAACTTCGGTGAGTGGAAAAGCTGAATGTTTACTTGCTTCCGGAAAAGTTCATTTGCAATCTCTTCGGCTCGTCGGTTTGGTCCTACTCTCCGGACGAACACTTCAGCCTCAGGGTTCGGTTTCCACTTGAAATGTTCACCTCCAATTTCCAAGTTGTACACAAGCTACAAGGGGCGCTCTACTATGTACCCATTTCCCTGTTTCTGCTTCAATCCGCCGACCGTCCCATCTTTGCCAGTGATCTTGCTCACTATTTGTCCGAGCTTCCACAATGCCTTGTCCTTGGCGTCACTCTTTGACCACACCGCTGCTCCTGTGTTTGGTATCTTCTCAGCATTATTTTCCTCCAGACCGCTGTTGCCTTTCTTCAAGGGCGTGAACGTTTTCTTTCGTGAACCTCTGTCGTAGGTGCTGTTTGCTTTTCTCTAGGAATCTCACGCGGTTAGTCACATCCTCTTCTCCTATGTTCTGCAGGTCTTCCTCCAAGATAGGAATTAGTAGGGTATTTGGGGTAAATACTGGTTTCTCAAACTCCTTTCCTTGATACATGAGTGGCCTGTTATTCATGGTCATCTCAACGTCCAGCAAGACTTCTTCTAGTTCCTGGAAGGTTAGCAGGCTCTTCATGATGCCAATAAGGCGTTCAAAGAATCCTCCCCACCATGGGGCGCGGGCTAAATTGAACTTCCGTTTTATTTCCAAAGCACCTAAAATAGTTTGCGAGACGCTGGTCTTTCTTCAGCTTGGATATCCATTTTCTAGTGGCAACAAACATTTTTCCATTATCACTCACAATGATCTAAGGGCAGCCTCTCCTGGCAACAAATTCCTTCAGTGCTCTGTGGAATTCTTGGGCAGACAGGTCACGACATAACTTGAGATGCACCGCACGAGTACTGGTACAGGTAATTAGTGCGATGTATGCCTATGAAGTAGTAGACTTGTTTATCTTGTAGTTCACAGGACCAGCGAAATCCACTCCTGTAACAGCAAAAGGGTTTGACAGTTCAGTTCTGAACGCTGGCAAGATCGCATCTCGGCTTGGAGAGGTTAACGCTTGCAAACGTTATAGTTGCCGATAACTGTCTTGGTTGGCGACCTCAGCTTTGGTATTCAATACTTTTCTCTCATACAGCGCATGGTTGATGAAACTCCCCATGCAGCATCTACTCATGGACTTGCTGAACCATAAAGGAAGCCAACTTACTGTTTCGAGGTAGAAAGACTGGATGATAATGGGGAACTCTGCCAGCACATCTCAATATTCCTTCTTCATCCTCCATTAGCCCCACGTCTGTCTTGGACACTGTAGCCTGTGCTTGAATGATCCAGAACTTATCAGCTGCCTGGAGCTCTTCGGTCATTAGTGGGTCTCTGAATTTCTTCTTTTCTGGTTTCTACAGTTGTTGATGAATCGCTTGAAGAATGCAGTGACCCTCATACCTGGTCAGAAGAGTATCTCTGGTCTCATTCGTTTCTTCCTTTGTTTTAACTAGGAGCTGATTTTTAATGCTTATGTTTGACCCTATCCTTATAATTTTCTGGATTCTCTGACACTTCAGGTTGATCTGGTCATTCTTCTTGAGTACTTAGCTACTTTGGCCCTCGAAACCACAACTCCCCCATTTTGCTAGGAGCCACGCCACGGCTTCCTTGATCACTGGAGTTTTCAGCAGTAGGGACATGATGCCACTGTGAATGCTCTTTGGCCTGGATAGCCCGGGTTCTGTTACTAACAAATTGGAACCAATATCGTTAATACTCTTTTTCTTTAGCCATCGTAGCTTAATAAGAAATAACACACGAACTGCGGTGACAAACATGACAATAAAACGCATTTTGGAAAACAAAATTCATTAACTTGACGTTTCGTATGTTTCGACATACATCTTCAGAAGTGACCGTTTGGAACAGAAGTACGATTGTCTTGTACGATTGTAGATTACGATTTTACGATTACTTCATCAGATTGTCAACTAGCTCCTCAAGTCCCAGGCCTTGTGGACTTTAATCTTCTTTCCAAATGTTAGTTCAAGAATTTTATTGGCTTCATTATAGCCTTCAGGGATGTGTGGCAGTCCCAGAATCGGATCTTTCGGTTGCCCTTCAACTAATTCTAGCAAATAATTAAATTTACTCATCTCACAAATCTTCGAGCTATCCATTTCAAAACAACAAACGGGTTCCAGAATCGAAGCCAGCCAAAGGTCATCAAATTATCCACCCGAAACAATCACCGGCTGAACCCTGACTGGA